ACAGACAGACAGACATACACACACACACGCATACGTACATACATACATACATACATGCATACATACATACATACATACATGCAGAAATACCTATACATATATATATATATATAGATAGATGCATGCATATACATATACCTGCATAGCCCTTGGAATACTGGGTAAACGGAGCAAAAAGTCAACCCCTGCCAGGTACCAGACCCCACCCTGCCCGGCGTCCACAGCGCCGGTGCTGCGACCTCGTCCGAAGAGGGTTCGGGTTAGGGATGCAGCTTGGGGTGAGAACTGGAACAGACTGATATAATATGGAAAGTAAAGGTTTTATGTCTAACTCCGAGGCTTATGACATATGGGTCCTAGGCCGAGGGCGGGAGCAACCTGAACCTCCAAGCCATGAGCTCAAGTAGTCGCCAACAGCTTTGGCCCACACACAAGCTCACAACCTAGACCCCAAAACCTTAAGCCAAAAAGCCTAAAATCCTAACCCTAACCCTAACAGCCTGAACCCTAAAACCTAACCATGGCACCATAGACCCTAAACTCTAACCACAATACCCCTCACCCTAAAACCTATAAGCTGTAAAACGCAGGGCCGACCGGAAATTCTCAATCCGACCCGAAGTCTAGATTCTAGGGTTTAGGGTTTAGGGTTTAGGGTTTAGCTACTGCACCAATAAAAACGGAATTCATTGTTTCATTGGTCTGGGGGTCCGGAGATTAAGATCTAAGAATCTAGGAGTGTGGGGTTCAGGGTTTGAGGATCAGAAGCAGATCGGGAGCCTCATATAGTGGGATGAACCCTAAACCCTAAACCCCTAAACCCTAAACCCCAAACCCCAAACCCTAAACCCTACACCCCTAACCTGAAGGTCCAGTTTTGAGTCTACCTAGAATGTCATGCCCTACCCCGTTTTTAGGGTACCAACTTTTAATATATAAACAGATCCTAACCACAAAAGAAGGTCCTACAAAGGGGTAAGGTCTGACCCTCTAGGCAGGGTTTAGGAGTGCAGGGTTATAGGGCTTAGGGTTTATGTATGCTCTCACAACTCGGACTTCCAGGTGAGGTCTGTCGATGTAAGGCCAAGCAGTCAAAACCTAGCGTGGGTGTCGACGACAACCAAACAAACTGAGCTGAACGGAAAGATGAGCCGACAACGTGCATTCACAAACCCCCAAGGGTTCGGGATAATGGGGTGTCCCTATATATTTTGGGCCGTTTGAGAACAAGAAGAAAAATCATGAACAGTGCTTGCAGCGGTCTCAAATTTAATCTGAATCTAGACTTGGGCCGGCCCTAACACTCAAACCTTAAACCCGCCAACCCAAAGCCTGACCCTAAACTCCACAAGCCCTCCACCGTAAACCCCAAGAAACCCTGAACCCCGAAATCACGAGGCAAGGGCATTCATTGCGGCCGGGCTTGAAGCTTTCATGTTGTGGGCTCGCGGATGCTCGCAGAGATGGTCTAAAGCTTAAACCGCTCTGAGAACGGAACGCCCGAATCTATAGGGGCCATGATCACTAAAACTGGGGTTAGGGAATATCGTGTACGATGGTGGTACGATGTTACCACTAGTTCCATTGCACCCTAAACCCTAAATCCACAAATGCTGGGGAGAAGTCATGCCTCCGACATGCGGCCGTCCACAACCTAATAATCGATTGGAGCCGTTGGCTTCTGCGCAGATGACGGATGGAAGGTTTAGTTGTTTTTAAGCTTAGGGTTTAGGGGACATCCCACACAGACTTCAAATTCAACGGCTTTGACATGATTGCAAGCCTTCCATGCATTGCCCTGCTGACGCCCGAAACCTTCAAACCCGAACCCCCACGACACCATGCACAGATAGTATAACCCAAACCATGACGCCATTATCCTCCAAATCCCAAAACCACATGCACAAACACAAGCGTAAGTTTGCAGGCCAACGTCCGAAATACTAGGCTCCCGATGCGCCCCGAAGACAGTAACCCTGAACCCAAAGCTCTCAGACAAAACCCTGAGCCTTGAATCTGAAACTTTAACTGAGCCCCGAACAGCAGACTAAAGAATAGAACCCCAAAACACCTGAAGACCCGACAGTTTATCGCAGAGTCCCCCCAAAACCAGACCCTCTCATAAGAACTGTTACAAGAACCCTCATGGTAACCCGTAAAAGAAAGTAAGATAAGATTGTATCGTGTGTTGTAGGGTTGCAGGGGGCCCCAGTTGCCGAAGTAACAGGTTGCAAGTTCATTACCTAGACCTTCCAATATCATCCCTGAGAGTTTAAGAATATACCATGAGTAATCTACTTGATATGATCTCAGGTATCTTCCTTAATTAATATAGGAAGGTCTGGGATAATTCCTTTCATGACACTGAACCGTACACCCTAAACCCTAAACCGTCTGTTCATCGTTGTTCCTTTAATGACACTGGACCTTAAACCCTAAACAATAAGTTCATTGTTTTTCTTTAATGACACTGGGGCTCAAAGGAAGGAAGCCCTACAGTTGAGCTTCTGTTGTAGTTCCTCTTGTTGGTTAACCCATCTTACGGCTTAGTTCAGGGTTTGGGGTCCAGGTTTGATCTTATGGCGTAGATCCTAGAATGTAAAGCTAACCTAAATGAACTGCGATAGAGACTATGGTAGACCTGGTGTACGCACTAACCCTTCGTTTACCCCAATGTCCATGCACTCCCACCGTATCTACTTTGGCCCTATACCTTATTGTCTCTGTAAGTAGATTAGGGCCACAGTATCTACTGTATGGGTACATGGACGCTTCCCGAAACCCATCTGTGCATATGGAACTTGGTGAACCCCAAGCCCTCAAGCCAGAATTCTAAACCCTATTTGTTGCTGGAATGGTTATTCTGCCACCCATGGCCCGAAAACTCGAATGGCCTTCTCCACCGGGATATGCGAACCTAAGATGTGGGGTTATATATAAGCGGATACACCCACCTTTTCCCTACTTCTAACCGAAGTTACCTGTATATCGCCCCCATACTTCCTAAACCCTAAACCCTCAACCCCAGGGCCCCCTTTGTCTTCATGAGCGTCATCTGCGCTGACCCACATCCAGGCGCCCTCAGGCAGGCGAAGCGGCCGGGGAGGCTCCTGGCGAGGCCATTGGTGCCCAGGCCATAGCGGGAGAAGGAGCCTGGGCCACTTGTCGGAGCGGTAAACGGTTCTATAAAGGCTACTATAAGGGTTGAGGGTACAATATAGGGTTCGATAAAGGCTACTATAAGGGTTTAGTGGGGTTTAGGAGTTTACGGGTTTAGGGTATAGTGTTTAGGGTATAGGCCTACGTTTAAGTGTCCCAGCAGCTGTAGGTGGTTGGACACTTTGCATTTTGGGATTTGCTTCGGGTTTGTGGCCGGAAATATTCATACACTCCTCAAAGAAGACACCCAACATTTGAGCCCAAGTACATAGGATCTCTAGGGAGACTCAAACGGACTCAAAACCCCCTCAATCTTATAGACCCTTCCTATGCCGAGGGACCGAGAACAGGAATCTCTGCTTCAAGAAGCTTTTCAACAGCTCTCGTGCTTATCACGTTCAGCAAGTCCGAAAAACTGTCAAACTTCCCAGTTGTTGTCTTTGGCTAGGCTTCGTGGTCAGCAGGACGAGGCACAAAGCAGGCATGAAGAACCAAAAAGAAAGAGATGGAGTCAGACAGAGACAGGGGTCGACCGATCGATCTATCTATCCATCTCTATCTATCTATCTGTCTATCTATCTATCTATCTATCTACCTGTCTATCTGGCGATCTATCATTTTATCTCTCTATCTCTCTATATCTCTATCTCTCTCTATCTCTCTATCTAACTCTATCCATTCATCCATCCACCCATCCATCTTATCTATCTGTACCTATCTGTATCTATCTGTATCTACCTGTATACTGTATACATGTAATTATGTGTATGTATATATATATATATGTAAGTAAGTAAGTAAGTATGTATGTATGTATGTATGTATATATATATATGTATGCATATGCCTGTAGATGAACACGGGCCCGGACATCGGGCAGAGAAAGGAGGACTGACTCAGAAAGAAAGACAGAGAAAGGAGGACTGACTCAGAAAGAAAGACAGAGGGAGAGACATACATACATACTTACATACATGCGTACATACATACATACATACATACATACATACATACATACATACATACATACAAACATATCGAGATACGTACATACCTACATACCTACCTACCTACCTACCTACCTACCTACCTACCTACCTACATACATACATACATACATACATATCTACATATCTACATACCTACATACCTACCTACCTACCTACCTACCTACCTACCTACCTACCTACCTACCTACCTACCTACCTACGTACATACATGCATACACATACATATCTACATACCTACATACCTACATACCTACATACATACATACCTACATACCTACATACGTACATACTTGCATATACATACATATCTACATACCTACATACCTACATACATGCATATACATACATATCTACATACCTACATACCTACATACCTACATACATACATACATACACACGTACATACATACATAAATACACACATACACACGTACATACACACATACATACAGACATACGTGCTTCTGCGTATGTATACAGAGCGAGTCAGAGAGAGAGAGAGAGAGAGACGGAGAGAAAACAAAACGAGAAAGATAAAGAGAGAGGGAGAGAGAGATAGAGAGAGAGAGAGAGACAAACACCGAGTGAGAGGGAGAGAGCCCTTGTGTGTGAGTGTGTGTGCGCGAGAGAAAATTTTGGGAGTCGAAATGCAAACTGTAGGAAAGGACTGGTCAGGTTCTGCTGATTGGTGGATGCCGGTGCCGGTGCAACGTGCCTGTAGCCTGGTTCAGGTGGCTGGTGGCATCTCGGATTTGGCATGTATAGAAACGTTTTCGCACGGCTGTTGCAGGGCCCAAGCCAGCTTGAAGCAGAAGCACTCATTGAAGCAAGCCGAAGGCAACCAGCAGCAGTTTCATGAGCTCTCCTCTTCATGAACTGAGCCCCAGAGAACCCCCAACCGCTAAGCCGAACAGGCGAGTCACGTTTGGCACAGCAGGGAATGGAAGCCGCTTGGCGTTGATTGCCGGTGCTGTTTGGTACGAGGGCGGCATCCACTTCTCAGATCCCAAGATCCTGAGGTCAAGGATTTGACTTTAGTGCGATAGGAAGTGGTGCTTCGCATATCTTTGCATGCTTATGGTTGAAGGGTTCGGGTCTGGGGTTGCGGGATTTGGGATGTGGAGTTGAGGATCTTCTGATCGTTTCCAGATGTGATAGTGATGCGGGTATGGGTTGTGGTGGCATTGAGTCCTGCTAGACGTTTCTTGTCTCCCCTCCCCACATAGTGCCGTCCTGTTTGCTGGCAAAGAAAGCTCTAGGCTATGAATTCTACCCCTGCTTGGTTGTAACCAGAATAGGGTTTTGGGGGTTCCTTATTATATTTATAGTATAAGGGGCCCCAAAACCCTATTCTAATTATAAAGGCGTCTATATTAATCTACTCTTCGGCTGCCAGCTGTCTGAAGCTCCCAGGACAGCAACGTAGAAGGGATGATTTAATATTAATATAGGGGCCCTTAATGATTAGAATAGGGTTTTGGGGCCCATTCTACTATAAATAGATTAAGGAAGCCCAAAATAATATGGGTAATTATTTAGGCCCCTATGTTACGTCCGCAGAAGCTGCAAGCTGTGAGTGACGGATATCAACTGAGACTGTGAGACCTGAGCTATCACCCTAAGGGTCCAAAGGACCCAGTAATAAGGTACTTTGGTTGCGGATAGTAGTTTTCTAGCTTAATATTAGGGAGAGTATATGATTATTAAGTACTTGGACCCTTAGGGTCAGTTGTTAGACCTTGCGGACGAAGCTCCGCACACGAAACTTCGTCACTCTAGCAGCTACCCAGAGAACCCAATACCCCTTAATCAAGGAATATACCTTAAAATATAGGGGCCATCATATCATGATCTAAGGTACAGTCCTTAATTAAGGGGTATTGGGTTCTCTGGGTATCACCGGAATTGCATCAATGGTTCGAAGCCCTGGCAGCTGCATCAGCGGCTGCAGCTGCATACCTGGGCTCGATGCCGCCGCGCACACCACTACTTGGGCCTTCAGCGTGAATCTGTGAATTTGTTGGGCCTTCAGGGTGAGTCAGTGGAATTTGTTGGGCCTTCAGGGTGGTTCTGTGGAATTGTATAAGCTTAAGAAATCTACGGTTCCCAGCGGCAGCAACTGGAATATGGCTTGGCTTCTCTAAGCTCCTAAACCCTGAAGGAACGCGTAAAGAACTTATGTCGATCCCTTATAGATCCCTCTTACGGCTTCTAGATTCTATAGTACTATAGTACCCTGCACCTCCAGGAAGGGATCTGTGGTAGGCTCTGCCTGCTGTGATCTCGAACCTTCCAATGGCTCCTGCTTCTGTGCGCCGTATAGGGTTTCGGGTTTTTCAGGCTTCTACAGGGAAGGTCAGGACCAAGGCAAGCCCTTAAAGCCTTGTTGTTACAGGTACGCATTAAATATAAAGATAGCTCCCACACTTGCTGAAACTAATTTTGTGCTATCCGTACTCTGGTTGTAACTATCGTGACACTTGTTCTTCTTATTCGTATGGCAGTATGGCTGTTGGGCTAATGGGTCGCTCCTATACCCTGCCGTAATGTAGGGGCCTTAATAACTAGAATAGGGTTTTGGGGTATATTATATGATACTTATAATAAGGAAACCCCAAAATAGTATAGGTAGTTATTGAGTCCACTAATCTGACGGCAAAGGTACTTGGGGACCATCAGGCCAATGCGTCGCGCTTCGTCCATGGCCTTCCGGGTCTTAAGGCTTTTAAGGACCGAGGCCTTAAGGGATTTGGGGCTTCAGGGAGAGACTGTGTAGGACTTAATGGATGTAGGGTTTAAGGGTTCCGGGGTTTAAGGCTTCGCGGCTTAGGGTTGCGTTTGGCTGCGCATCAACGCCCAAAGCGGCTGTCGGGGCTTGGGGTTCGAATCTTGGTCTAGGGTGCGGTCTAAGGTCAGGCTGAGTTGGGAAAAACGGCTGCATGCCCAGAGATCCCAATATCCCCTAATTCAGGAATATGCCGTAAATCATACTATCAAGGCCCCTATAATGTAGGGTATTGTCCTTAGTTCCCTTATAGAACCCTTAGAGAGACCCTTATGACTCCTTGTAAGGCCGGTGCAGTGTCCTTAGTTGAAAGGTATTGGGATTTCTGGGAGGTTTAGGGTTTAGTGTTTGAAAGGGAGCTTTTCAAGGGACTCGGGTTCAAGGGGTTTTAAGGGGTTTTGGTGATATTTGGGTTTTAATTTAAGGAAAAGTTTTCAAAATCATATAGAATGTACCTTAAATCATAATTCTGAGCACCCTATGATGATGTAATGTATATTCCTAATTAAGCGATATTGGGATCTCTGAGCGGAGATGAGGCTTAGTGCGACTTTACGAAGTGCTCAGGGGCGTCAAGGGTGAGGTTTAGGCGGGCTTTTAAAGTACCCTAAACCCTAAACCCTTAAACCCTAACCCTTAAACCCCTAAACCCCTGAACCCCAAACCCTTTCAGCACGGACTGAGGTGCCGGCCAGCGCCCATGCAACCCTCACCCCGTCTTAAGGCAAGAGCGCGCAGGAAATGCTGTTGATGACAACTGACGGAAGCTTAGACTGAAGATCCCTTGAAAGTAAACTACTGCACCATCTGTTCAAGAATAGAATATTGA